AAAATTGATAGGACGTAAAGTTTTATTGCTCTAAACGTCTCTAAATTATATATTTTTTCTTTTCTACAAATATTTTCCTGACATTTTAATAATAACTATCTTACATTTCTGTGTACAATACTACATGGCGTAGGTAAGACATCTACAAATGTTAAACTTAAACACAGGTAACAACTATTACTCTTAAGTCGATACGTTAAGTTGTACGCAAGTCACTTTCAGGTTATATTTTCTTTCCAGTCAGACTAAGTTAAAGATTGAACTAAAACTAATTAAAAGTCCTTAAACTTAAGGTTACACAGGCGTGGCTCAAATTCTGGGCGAGACAGCAGTATTACCTACCTCAGTAAGATAATCTAGCACTTTAATATCCTAACAACTGTATAAAATTCATAGTGCGCTCGAAGCACATTTAAATTCAAATTCAAATTCAACGACAGTCGGCCGGATTCCTGGCCGCTGTTTACGAAAAACAGGGACGAAAACTTAAGGGCGCAGTTTTATGCGGAAGCAGCATCCCTCTTTTCAAGGTAACTATCCCACAGGTCAACAGAGGTTTGCCACGCATTGATCACGTGCTTCAACTGCACCTCAGGTGGTAGCTCATCCAGTCCAGCAATTGGTTCATGTTCTTTGTTGTCAAGATGCCACTGGATATATTCACTCAAGCTGGAGAAGTACATGAAAGTTGTAATAAAATGGAAACTATATAAAGAATCTTTATGTTTATTCACGTAGCGGGCACAGAAAGATATGCAAGACAAACAATCACCGCATAAAATGAACGCGAAAAAACCCCTCAACGTCACACTTACATAATGTAATCTTCACGTTTTATATTCGCGAGTTCTTTAGAGCGAGTGAGCTAACGATACAAGCAATAGTGCGAAATATTCCCATCTGAGGCTCCAGAGAGATCTAAAATAAAGTTCCACTTAAGGACCTTTTCAGAAGTTTGAAAGATCTAACTCAAATGCATTTGATTTACCTCATATCTTCCTCTCCCGGAGTGGCATCTCCTCTGAGGTTGAGCAAAATTAGCTCCAGGACCTCGGAGACGAAACGATCCAAATCAACCCTCCTCATGCTATTACTAAACTTCATCATCTGTTTCGACGACATGACGTGTTTGTAAGTATCCGCAATCTGTTCAAATGGATCCTACGTATAACACATCAGATAATTAGAAGTCCCCCTTTTCACTCAAGGTGACGATGGTTTGTTTGGTTTGTTCCAATCCTAAGGATTGGTACTGGCGCAGTGAACTCTGGTTTCTCTAGAGTGAAGTAGGTAGGATTATTGTTACTCCTCCCAGGATAGGATGTTAGTCAATCACAGGTTCTCCAACCCATCCCTAGCATTTTGCCAGGTCTCACAACAAAACGCAGCAATAGTTTCGCAGTCCTACCCTGGACGAAGAGAGGGACCTGACCCGGCCAGAGCTCAAACCCAGACCTCTCTCCCAGACAAACCCTTAGACTGCATCAGGCTTGTACTTTCAAACAATTCTTAATAATGGCAATTAAAGCTCTGTTCCCCCCTCCCCCCCCTTCACTCTAAAGTTTTCTTCATAGCTAGGACGAGCCAGTAAGGGTATTTTTGATGTCTAGTTTAGAGATAAAAAGGTCCAATGTTCCTTACCTCGCCTCGTTTCATTAACATTCTAGCTCTCTCTAGGGTCAGCAGTCTCCAGAGAGAGATCACGTGACGCAACTGGCAGCACTGCTGGGCCTGGTAAAGAGAAAAGAACAAACAGTAAAGTACTGGCTTCTCCCAAAGCTTCGGGGGACTTTGCATGGGGTGCTAGAAATGTACAGATTATGCCATAAGTGATTACATCTAGGACTGCCTTTAATTTGATGCGACGATGAAATGCTGAAATCCCGGAGATTAATTCCTTTGCTTCCAAATTAGTCTACACGGTTACGACCTGTTACAGTAGATAACCCGGCTTTCTGCAAATCTTTTAGACCAGTTATTGACAGTAACCCGGAAATGATTTGGTTTTGTTTTACTGTCCTGTGTGATTGGTTTAAAAAGGTCACACCACCTACCCATAAAGTGAGATAAAAAAAAAAAGTCAATCACGCAAGATCACGCTCGTGTTCCCGCGTTTAGCGCCTCTTGCGTGTTTGCTAACGTTTGCTGCAAGTTCACCATTGTTATTACTTGGGTCTTGGCTTTACAATCTTATTATAAACCGGACCATCGAATTATGTTTTGCGACAAACGTTGATTGAAACATCATGTCACGAATCGAGTTCAAATAAGCAAAGTAAAAAATGGAACCACCCTGTTCTCTTTGGAAAGGTTGCGGAAACACTGCAACAGCTATTGCAAGCCAGGGACGCAGAGTTTGACACTCACCCCTCGTACAACTGGTAATAGTAATTTTATAACGAGTCAATGTACACGTGATTTTATACCTTGAGACTGCGAAGACTGTTTTGGTGAGGCATGCGCAGTACGTGTTGCAGATAGTGATTAAGCAGCATGTCAGGTGATCCACCAGTGGAGGACAGGAAACCAACAGCAATGTCCAGAGACGACAACACGTCACAAATGTCTGTCAGTGAACGAAACTCGCCCAGAATTTGATGACTTACTGCTGAACTCAAAGGAACCTAAAAGAAAGCAAACAATATTGCGTACCTAATGACCGATATTATGTCAAAACCAGAGACCAAACCAGTTTGCCATGATTCCTCCTTGAATATTAACCCTGCTAATCTAAGACTAATGGAAATGTCTAGCAGGTCACTGGTCAGATTGGTTTATTTTGCGCTCTTTTTCGGGCGGTAATGGTTGACTTTGATTGGCTCTTTAATTACTCAGGTTATTTAGGTTAAGAACGGTCTCTGTGACGGAGCGGGGAGAAAAAAATACTGACTGATACAATAAATTGTTTTACCTGTGGATGAACCTTGGCTTTCACTGAAGCGAATACAGAGTCCAACTGGATGTCTTTGCTAAATGCAAACCTCTCATCCTATGAGTTTAACACAGCAAGTTCTGTTAAACCAAATCCTTCAGAAAGAAAGAACTGTGGCAACTAGCGGCACTCCTTAAATTTTTACAAAAAGAGAGGCATTCCGAACAGGATAAACTAGCAACAAAGAATCAGAGGTACAGTTTACCTTGAAATCAACCAGCGGTCTTCCCCTAATAAACCTGTCAATCAGTTGTCTTTCCAGAGCTTCCCAGTTGTATTGAACCAAAGTTCCTCGACCCACCTCTAGAGAGTAGTTACACTGAGCCAAGATGAGGGGTAACAGATCTCTCTCAGTGTGGTATGAGATCAGATTTGAGCTTGTCACGTCTTGCAACTGTATGTGAGGCAGGTCTCTGATAAAAGGCCGGAATAGAATGTCATTAGTTTCTCTCACCCTTTCTCAGCTAATTCGGTCGCGAGTTTCAGGAATAGATTCTTCTTATTACACGACTAGAACAGTTGCGAGAGCCAACAACTAAAATCAGGCAATCAAACGCTTTATTGCCGGTCCAATACTTTCTCAGCATTCCACTTTTTCCCCCCAAGATTTTAGATTAGCTTCAAGTTGGATGGTTGGGTTTGACTCTATCAGGGAAAGGGTTTACCCCACCGAGTGATATTCATTCCGACCAACTAGACGAAACAATGACCATAAGAAGTCAAGGCTCCCGTCTCCTTAGAAGGCTAGGTGAAGGAAAATATTTAGTTGTTGTACTTACCTCCCCTGCCCGCCAATCAAGTTCTGGTATCGTTCGTTGAACTCGTTGTGTACTGTGGTAAGGAAAAATACCAGGGCTGTGGAACAGATACCCATCCCTGAGGTATTGGGCAGGAGTACAGCCAGAGGACGCATGTTATCCATGGTCTTCTCACACAAGTCCGCTGGGGGACGAAGACGCCCTGTTTAAAGACAAGGACAAGTAAACAATAAATGTACTAAATGTACTTCTCCAGAAGAGGAAAAATTAAATCGCATCCTCAATAAAGTGTTTTCTATTCTTTAAGTCCAATTAGAAATAGCATAAACACTTTACCTGTAAAATGTGCTACCATAGCTTGTACGCCATGCTAGCTATTTAGCAACGTACATGAGTTTCCCGAATTACCGGGGACTATGCCAATCTTCGGAGACAGCTTTCTGACTACGCGCTTTTGTTTTATTAACTGACTTTTAATATTATAAATGAGTGTGGTTGATGATGTATCCAAACATACCTTGCTGGTCAAGACTTAGCCGCACATGGTTCCATGCCAGGTTAAAGCTGGCAATCAGTGACGTAAGTTCTTCTCTCTCTGTTTCTGTAAAGAAACATACAAAGACACGTAAGTGCAATATGAGCTAGTAATAGAATTAATCTATCATTTGACGTCCTACTTACTAGACGGGATCATTCGAAGAAAATCTCGTATTTTGATTTGCTCTGCTTCAGCTCTGTCAATTCGACGGTGGAATTTGTCCATGAGAAGGCGCTGTAGCTTTACGATGTCTGGCAGGAAACGGAGGGCGCGGAGTTCGTGTTCCTATGGATAAAACAAGGCCACATGGACATTTATTTCATGTTTTAAGTAATCACTCGTTGTTACATATACTCGTTCATTTTGTAGATTTTCGAGGTAAAAGTATGCTGCAAGTTTCCTTTAAACTAGACATCTAAATCATACGCAAGGTTAAAGTTCCCGCCACAATGGATTCAGTTCGGGAACTTTCAAGTCAATTAACCTTACTAAGAAACTTTAAATGCAGAGGTTAATTTGTTGCATAGGCGATGACTAAATACGATTTGAATTGGTTTACCTGACGTAAAAACTCTGCCAGTACTTTGTTGCTCTCAGAATCAGTCGACGACACCTCCTGTTGAAAAGTGTGCGAGAAGTGATCCAGTGTGACCTGAGTCCTGTACCTCCACAGGGCGGGGCAGGTGGGAGGAACACGGTCAGTCAGGGCCTCGGTAGGGACATCAACCTCGTAAAGCTGGCGCATCAGGGGATTATTACCTGAAAAAAGAAA